GTGCCGGAGTTTCTTTGAAAGTGTTTAACTGGATGGATAGCTAGCTGGGTGATAGTGAGACCTTCACAGCGACACAGAGGATGAAGACTTCAGTGGATAAATGCGATTTATACACCGAAGCGACTTATATATGTTTTTTCTCTTAATGACACGTTTTATGACAAGAGCGACTTATACTCAGGTGCGACTTGTAGTCCGGAAAATACGGTAGTTGTTTCAACTGTACCAGGTATCAGACAGTTCATAGTGATGCTGGTCATTATTTCATTGGCATATTGGTGGTATATACAAATCTCTGGAGAGTGTAGAACTATGATAATCCAAACATTGTATTGTCTTTACGTTTAGCTAGCTCCTGACAACATCCATCTGTGACCACAAGTACCAAATAGTATTTTAAATATTTATGAGCTGGTGTTTATGGACTTAGACTGAAAAAATGATAACAAATTAATAAACGTCATAAGGTAACCAGTTGCAAAATCGACAAACACCAGTAATGGCTCTGAAGTTATAATTTAAACGTCCACATCTGTCTCTGTAATTCTTTCTGTTTAAGATCATCTTTCTCATTGTGTCGTGTTTTTTTGTTTTTGAATGACTAACATTACTTTGGATAAAACCCACGCAAACATATTCACCAATGTTTAACTATCAAGTAAAAACCATTAGCAAATACAAAAAGATTGCAGGTTAATTAAAAGTGCATCAAATTGACAAAATTAACATTGAAATGCATCTCAAATGACATGATACTCCAATTGCCTATCAGTTTAGTCAGTTATATGTCGCAAACCAACTGTCAAATGGACTAAAGTGTAATTCACTCAAATTCCAATCGATGGAGCTCCAACATCATTTTTGAAATTTTTATAAATGCTTTTTAAGTCTGAAAAAAATGACATTATTGATGATAAATAGGTGAATATGGTAAACAAGGGCGTACGACCCCCAAACTTTGTGGGTGTGTTCAAACGGTTACAAAGTGCAAATATACCAAGTTTGGTGGACCTGTGATGTCTGTAAATATTTGACATTGTCCAAATCTCTCCATTTTCACACCAATGCATCACATTGTGGCCTATAATTCAGTGTTAAATGATCAG